CTAAAGTAAAAAGATATGGACTTAAGACTGATCCTTGATGTAATACAATCGAAATAGGAAAATACTTGGTCAACCCACCTTGTGTTTGAACATAAGTAATAGCTCATCCATATCTTTAATGATTTGAATAAAAGCGTTATTAACTCCTTTCTTTTTAAGAACTCTCCATAGCACTTCTCTGGAAACTTTATCATATGCTTTCTCTAAATCAATAAATATCATCAGTAAATCCTCCTTATTCTCTCTAAATTTCTCCATCAAACTTCACAATAAATGTATGGCTTCCATAGTAGACCTACCCGGTATGAATCCAAAGTGATTTTGAGAAACATTAGAATCACACCGCAACCTACGCTCCATAACTCACTCCTATAGTTTTAAAGTATGACACATTAACTTAATTCCTTCATAATTCGCACACTCCTATGCATCACATTTATTCTTAAAAATAGAAATTAACACACTCAATCTCCACTGATCTGGTATCTTTTTGGTCTTCAAAATATTATTAAAAAGTTTAGTAAGCCAAGAAATTTCTTCATCTCCTAAGCATTTCCACATCTCTATTGGAATACCATCAGGTCCAACAGCTTTTACACACTTCATTCTCTTTAAAGCCTCTATAACTTCGGTTTTACCAATACGCCGATAAAAATAAAAATCTTTATTTTCATTTAGGGTGCTAAAGTCACTAAAGTCAATCGTATTTCACAATCTTATTAAAAAGTTTAGCAAAATATCTCATCCACCTTTGTTGAATATCATCTTCTAAGAGAAGTACTTTTTGATCTTCATCCTTAATACACTTCACTTGAACTAAATCCTTAATACTCATATCTCTTTGTTTGGCTAACTTATACATATATATATATATATTTCTTCCTCCTTAATATCTAATATATTATATAAATCATTAAAAGCTAAGCTCTTTGCATAGCGAATAGCTTTCTTAGATTCCTTACGAGCCTCTTTATAGCTTTCCCAATTATTCAAATTTTTATATCTAAATTAATTTTTATAATAAATCTTCTTTATTTTTATTTTTTCTTGCACATTAGAATTCCACCACCAACTATTTTTACTATTAGAATTTTTTCCCTTTAAAACTCCAAGCACATCTTTTGCAATAATATTAATATCACTAGCCATTTTTTTTATATAACATTAGCATCCTCATGCACAGAAAAAATCTTAAGATCAAAATCTTATTCTCAAAAATATTTTTGTTAATATTCTTTAAATGTCCCCATCTAATCCTAAAAAATTATTTTACTTTATTTTTTATTTTATGCCCCTTTATCTTAAAATCCAAAACTAATAATCGATTTTGGGTAAATAAATTTTCACTTGAAATAATTTTACAATCTTTACAATCTAAACAATCTAATTTTCTTATAAGAAAATAATCAATCTATGTTTTATTATATCCATTTTTATAAGTGATAAGATACTCATCTCTTTTCTTAAATAAGGTATTAGCTATTAAAAAATTATAAGCTAAAGAAAAATCTAATATGATCTTACCGCCTTCATTTGTCATTCCAAACTCATGGCCAACATTAATGCTTTTAAAATCATCTACCTCTCTACCAACATGTCAATTTAAGTATCCTCCAA